TTAGCAGAAAAATTAACTGAAAAAAACCATAAGTATAAAATTTGTCTGAACCACATCATTTTGCTAAATCTATACTTGGAATCTTTTTGAAAAATAGCAGGTAAAATGTGAATTAAAAATAAGAAAACCTGGGCTAGCACCAAGACCTAGTGGTTAAAGGAGCTGGATCCCAGATGGCTCACCACCTGTGGTTTGAGTCCTGGCCCCAGTGGCTTGAAAGACATACCAAATGCGTGTATGTGCAGCCCCGAGTCCTGACAGGGTGAGATGAAGAAATGAAAGAGATTGCAGCAGGATCACACCCCATTCAGGGATGATTTATCCCTCTCCTTCTCTCTCCATCTCTGGCGGGTGCACATCTCTTCAGGCAATACAAATAATAATAAATTAATTTTAAAACGCCATTCCTAAGACAAGCAAATGATGTAATGGTTACATTGCTGGACTCCCAAGTAGTCAACTGTGATCTAAGTCCTGGACCCAGTGGCCTAAAACTCACACCAGGCTCGTGTGCATGCATGCCCAAAATCCCAAGAGGAAAATGAAGGAGAAGGGATGGCAGAGTGGCCGTCACCCCTGGGGGGGGGTGTGATTTCTTGATTTTTAAAAAAGTATTATTAACTTTTTTATTCATCCATTCATTTTTAACTTGACCAGAGTGAGACAGAGAGAGAGAAAGAAGTGAGAAAGCAAGTCACCAGGTCTGGGACTCGGACTGTGGTCGGCCATGTGAGAATGTACAGCACCTTAACCACTATGCAACCTGCTGGTCCCCAATCCCTCTGTGGTTAAGTGAACCAGATTTCACATGCCCCGTCATCTATGGTTTGAGTCCTGGACCCAGTGACTCAAAAGACATGACAGGTGTGTGTGTGTACATGCCCCAAATCCTGACAGGATAGATAAATAGAAAATAGACTGCAGCGGGACCATGTTCCATTGAGGGACTTTCTCTCTCTCTCTCTCTCTCTCTCTCTCTCTCTCTCTCTCTCTTTCTCTCTCTCATTCACATGCACTCTAGAAATAAAAAAAAATTAAAAATCCCGTTCCTGATCCTTGAAATATTATGCTTTGGGTGACAATTTGTAACAGAACACAACTCCATCATTATAAAATCACCTTTGAACACATTTGGACAAGACAGATCCTACAGTTGTTAGATGAGAACAAAACCAAAATAGCAGGATATCCCCTGCGTTTCTCATTCCCTCAGTTTCCCAGGAGCTGCCATTCTCTCTAAAGAGATGACACTACCTCGTCTCTGCCTCCTTGAGCCACCACAACCACAGCCACAATCCTAGAACTCTGCCCTCCCCAAAATGATCAAGAGTGACAACTTCCTGTGTGAGAATATGGGGACATTGGCCTCCCTGGACCAGGCAGTCACATACCTGCCTCCCATCGTACTTTCCCAGAGTCTGGGATATTTGGTCTAAATGCCAGGCCTGAGGCAGCAAATGTACATGCAGAGCATATGCAGCTGCGCCAAGCTAAGACTGGCTCCTTCTCAGTCTCTGTTCTGTTCAACTAGGGTTCCAGAAAGTCCTGGGGCCCAGTCACACTTGGGGTCACCTCATGACCACAGCAACAATTATTATTCTGTATTAAATACCCACTGGAGAATGCAGGCATGGTGTCATGGGACTCAAATGCCGCCTCCCCTTCCCCGACAAACACATAGACACACAGGGAGGCTAACAACAGTCTCCCAAAAGGAGGAATAAAGACAAAAGTGTGAGGGAGGAAGGGAGAGAGAGGAAAGAAGAATGAGAATGAACCAGGCAAGCGGAAAAAAAGCAGATAGGCATCAGCCAGGATCGTGCCTACCTCACCATGGTTTTTTAGTACTCACATTAACCACATTTTCACCCAAGTTTAAAAATTACTCAGCTGTTCAAGTTCAACATAACAATAGAGATGTTCTTATTTGGCCCAGCCCTGGTGGTGCACTAGTAGCATGCAGAAAGCAAACTGCCAGCTCTGGGACTCTAACCGTGGTCAACCATGCAGCTCTGCAATGCTCAAAGCTATATGGAAGACTGGGGCTCAGTTCCCAAGTCAACCTGTGCACTCTGGGCATGTGCATGCACTCATGCTGGTGATCCTGACTGGCTGGGAGGAGGGCCCTATTGAGATTGCTTCTCTCTCTCTCTGCAGCTCTAGCTCTCTAATGCTCTCATGAAAGAAAGATGGAAGAAAAAAAAAGAAAGATGGAAGGAAGGAAGGAAGGAAGGAAGGAAGGAAGGAAGGAAAGAGGTAAGGAAGGAAGGAAGGAGGTAAGGAAGGAAGGAAGGAGGTAAGGAAGGAAGGAAGGAAGGAAATAAAGAAGGAAATTTTTACATTTGTTTCATGTAAAAATTGCTCGTCCTACCTGGCACATAGGAGAAGCAAGGTAAATAGCTTCTCCATTCCTCACCAATGTCTCACCTACTTGTAATTCCTGAGACTTTGCTCTTTTCTCTACACCTTGCCATGTGTGTATCTATAACCTTATGGGCCCAACATAAAGAATCTCATCTCCATCTTCAAGGTGTGGTTTTGTGTGGAGTACTTATAAAGACATTATACTGGGTTTGACCTCATACTAAGCAATTTTAAAGCAACCTATTACTCAAGTTTGGAAGGCTACTGTTACTAATAGTGTGATCTTGGAAATTCTATCTAATTTCTCCAAGTCTCATTTCTTTTGCAATAAAGATAAATTAATACCACAGGATAGATAAAGGGAGTAAATCCGGAACTATGTAAAGTGCCACACACTGTCTGACAAATATTAGATGCCACCTACCTCTATTCTTCTGTAACACATGTATGTTGACATAAATGCATTGCTTATCAAATTTGAGTAATATTATTCTAAAAAGAAGAAAACTCATTAAAGGCCTCTAGCATTGCCTAAAATTATTTCTATGATGTTACTTAAATATTTACATACCTAAAACTAGGCAAAAACTCCTTTGCTTACAGTTTTTACAGAGTATAAAACAAAACAACCTCACAAAGTAAAAAGAAGCCAACCTATAAAACCAAACAATTATTTTAATTATTTGTTTAATTTTATTTATTCATTCATTCATTTCAATTTGACCAGAGAGAGACACAGAGAGAGAGAGAGAGAGAGAAAGGGAGAAAGCAAGCTGCCAGCTCTGTGACTCTAACCATGATCAGCCATGTGGGAAAGTCCAGCACCTCAACCACCACGCCACCTGCTGGCCCCCCAAAACCAAACAATTTAAAATTAACACTAATCCAATGAGATCGATAATGTTGCTTTGGCAATCCTAAATCAGTCTATAACATGATTATGGTACTGATGACAACACAGATTCTCTTGATTTAAACATTCCTTCATCAGGAAGAGGTTAATGACCTAGTCTGAACCCTCTGCCAATTTCCTAACTCAAAATTCCTACAAAACCTCTGTAGGGAACAAAATGATACATTATGGAGTACATGCATCTTTTGTGTATTAAGTACATCGTCACATTTTTCTCATTGACTAGAAACAGAATTTCTATATCTATGATGCCTTTTGCCATTAAATACATCATTATTTTACCTACCACTAAGAAAAAGAAAAATACTTCTAGTTGAACTACAATACAATGCAAAGTTACCATCAACTGTAAGATATGCCATGACTTTAGAGATAATAATTTGTGAAAAAAAAATCGATCTAAGCATCAATGAATGAATACAGTAATGCTGCTTGGTACCATCACAATACTTAATTTAAATCCAGTATTTGGCTCCTAAGTGCTAGAAGTCCAAGATCAGTTCAATTTAAGAGTCCAGGGGTAAATTCTAGGATCCGGCAGCATTCCCCACCAAAGCTGATTCAGAATGCTCCCCTCTGTCACTTGTACAGGTACATTCATAGTCAGAGAAAAGGAAGTAATTTACAAACCAAGGCAATGACATGCAAAACCAACCTAATTGGCTGAAATTGGCATTTGCTTTATGTGGACAATATCTAATCAGTTGGCAGTCTATGATTGGCTGACACTCATTTCCTAAGTTACCAGCCTGTGCTCTTAACTAGGTTACAATTTGTATATTATGCTGAGTTTTATTATAGTTTAGTATCTATGGAAACTGCCATGAGCCAAATTTATTATCCAGCTTAGGGAAGCCTGCTTAGGGCAATTTTGTTCATTTTCACATAGAGTGCGAGGTAAAATGTGAAAATGTAGAATATATTTTAAATAAATTTCTTTTAAATTATCAGTGAAATGAAACAGAGCATTTAAAAGACATTTGTAGAGAATTTGTGAAATCCCAAAACATGTCACTATTTTTCCAGAATTCCATCAGCTCTGCTTTGAGAAACATTGACTAAGGTTTCGTGTCTAAATCACAGTAACATCACCGAGACATCAGGAATATTTTAGAGACTGATGAGAATTGCATCACAGAAACATTTTCAGCTCTTAGAAGGAAACAAAAGTCCTATTCTTCAGAAGAATTATTTATTAAATGCTACTAGCACATGGCATAATGAAACTGTAGGGGAAAAATGTATCAGTGCTGTTTTTTAGAGAACTTAATCATTAATTTTAGTAATTAGTAATGTTCCAACCCTTTAGCATTTTACATACATTACCTCATTAATTATATAATATTAATATATCACTTAATGTGATATTATCCACATCGTCACTATTCATCTATCATATTAACACATCTCCTTCTTTTGTCTAAATATTTTGCACTCAGTATGTGCTCCAAATACACATATAAATCCCAGCCATGTTCCCATTCTATTATTCTCATCATTTTCAGTCAGACCTGTACCAACATTTTCCAGTGGAATTACACAGATATTTTATATATATGTATATCTATATATACAGACACACACATACAGATATTATAGACAGAAAAACATAGATGAGAAAGAAAATTAAGATAGTAAATTTATACATTATCTTTTTTTAATTATTATTTTTATTTTTAAATTGACAGATAAAGTTGTAGATATTTGTCATGTACATTATCATTATCATTTTATTCACAGACTTTCTACTCAAAGGAAGCCAACTTCCTCATTGGAGTAGGATTCCCACCTCCATTCCTTTTCACCCATACTTCTCCTCCTTCTTTTTTGGGTATACAGCCTTTCAGAAGTTATAATGTATGTAAATCTTTTATTGTTCTGAAAAATAAGACATACCATGTATACAACATATAACCAGCTTTTCTACTTAAGATTATATACTGAATTTTTTTTTTTTGGTTAGAGAAATGTAGATATCCATCAATTTTCAACAGCTGCAGAATATTTCACATGTAGATATCTGGTTATTTATAGCCAATTGCCTATTTTGAGGCACAAGTCATTTACAATTTTTCACCCTTCAAAACAGCTTGAAGACACACAGCTTTGGACAAACCAATTATTTGATTATCTCCTAAGGATGAATGTCTACAAATTATTGGAGTTACTGAGTCAACGAGAATGCATATCTTTAAGCTGCAGAAACATGTATCCCAGTGGACCTCTTACCACTGTATACTCCCACCTGCAGAGTTTGAGAGTGCTCCTTCCCCCACATACACTCCCTCACCGACACTAAGGCATGGGAGAGAGGTGGATCTTCTCCTTTGTGAATCTCAACAGCACTCTCGATTTTCTGTAAAGGCCGCACTCCAACCAACCTTATAAAATAAATCTTCTATAAACACCAAAAAATATTCTTTCTTCTATATTTCCTATTATTTCAAAATAGTAACTATTTTATTCACTTATGCAGACACAAGAGTTAGCCAAGAAGGAGAATGTTTTCCTATTAAATGCCCTAGGACTCTAAAATAAAATCACTCTTCTGTACCCAGAATAGATTCTGGCACGTGTTTATTCCAAGGGTCTCTCCCCTCCGTACCATTCCCACAGCCATCAATGACATGCCACACCTTCACTGTCTTGTGCTTGGACTATTGTGGTAACTTCCTGACTGGTAATCTAATCTCCGGTCACCACTCCTGGCCCCACTTCAAGTTGAACCTGTGCTGCACATAAATCTACCACATCACTTTCCTTTCATCTTGTGGGTTCTCTGGTCAGGAATGGCCTTGGTGTGTTCCAGGGGTGGATGGGATAATAGCCAGATACCCCAGTATAGCAATCAGGGGTGCTCCGTGTATGGGACTCACTCCAATTACCCACCTCTATCTCCTCTCCCCACACTTTCCACCCCAGGCTGGCCAGCTTCTCTTTGTAGCAGATCCCCACTTCTATGCCCTTCTCCCCACCACTCTCCCCTCCCTCAATATCCTTGAGACCCACCTGTATCCTGTCCTTCAAGCCCAGCTTACTCAAGTGTCCGCCTCCTCTGTAAAACTTTCCCTGACCACAGCTGACCGCAGCAGCTTCTGCTGCCTCTAAGCAGTGATGGGAGGCATCCGGCCATGATAGGAGACTCCCAGTTTTGTCACTATCTTTTAGTTTCTGTATATCTTGCCTTTCCAAACAGATAGAAACTCAATGACAAGGAAAATGTCTTTTGTGTCTGTTGCTTAAAACACACAACTTTATTGATGAAACACAAATTTTGGATTAACAAATGTTAATCAATACAAAAGTGTAGCTTATTCATGACGTATAATCACTGTCATTTTAGGTAGAGGAAAGAGTAAAAATAACTCAATCTAGTTAGCAGGATCAAATCAATATACATATCCTTTGTACTCGCTCTAATATTCATTTGGCATCCTTAAAATAGCCCAGCCTAAACCTGACAATCACAACCAGCATCAATCATTGTCGATGATCTGGATATTATTTCAGAACAGCAGCTGGAAGGATCTATTTGCCATATAGACATAGTGGAAAACAAAGAATTTACAAAATATATTGTTCCCAGGTGCAAACTAAAAAAAAATTACCATTATACCATTTGGGATAGGCCCCAAATTAGAGTTTAATTAATACTTTTAGGACTTTTACTTTCACCACCAGATCATTGTGATTTGCTAGTGCTTTGATTTTCTTAACACACACTCCAGATTCTTTGAATAAGAAAAAAAGTGAGCTTCTGCTAAATTCTTTCCTGGATGATGCAAGCCCTTCACTTTTTATGTTGTCATTTATATTCTCAAACAGGGTAAGGATATTAAGAAGAATCTCTCTATCCCATTCTTTATTGAAGAGGGAAATCAATTCCGATGGTACTTTACAACTGACCAGCTCTCTTGTCATAGCTGGATTTTCAGTAAAGTTTATAATTAATTTCATAGTCTGTATTTTGGTGAAGTGATTTCCCAGGAATAACAAAGCAAAGAAGTCTGGAAAAGAATAGGAAAGCAAATGTTGGTAATGATTTGTCACAGTCATGTTGGTTAACAGTCTTAGTCCAGCCATCTGCACAGCTGAATCTAAGCGGCAAATCATAGTGTCGTCACATACTTGACTTATATATGCTTTAATCTTGCCCTGATTTTCAGCATTTACACTCAAATTATTAAGGGCATTGTAAGTCTTTTCCCTAATAATGGGGTCTTTCGTTTTGATCAGTTTTGCAATAATTGGGACACCACCCAATTCACGTATAGCATTTTGATTAAATGAATATGCTGCGTTGTTACCCAGAGTGACCAAGGCTACTTCTTGAATAAAAGGATCATTTGTTCTCTCCAGGATGTTAAGGACCTTTTGAAGGTCAGGAGCACTCAGAATATCATCAATTTTATATGGAAAGTTGAACTTGCCCCTACGGACTGGCCATGTTGTAGCTGGAACCCTAGTGCTCTTACTGCTTCGAGATTTTCCCTTGGATTTCCCATTTGCCTTGCCCCCAGGCCTAGTTCCACTCTTGGTGGGGTGGCAACCTCCACCCCTGCCTCCTGGGCAGGGTAAACTTGGTGCAAGGGTCCTATTCCCAGAGATAGGACCCACCCTGCCGACTTTGGCCGCCTTTGCGCTTGCCTGTTCCTTCAGAGTGTTGAAAAGGGCCTTGGCCTTGGCCTCTAAACCACCTACTCTCTGGGGCCCCATGGGGATCTGCTCCTTTACACCTGGACGACTCTCCAGTCTCGAGGTCTCTTCAGCTTTGGCCTTTGAGTCACCCTGAAGTTTGACTGAAGTCCCTGCCCCAAAGTTAGCCTTAGTTCCTTTCCCAGTCTCTACCCCAGTCTCTGATGTATCATTAGACTCCTCATCGTCGTCATCCCAGATTTTCTCGTTTTCATCTCTTCCCCAGGTCAGTCTGTACACACAGTAACAGGCGCCAGCCCCGATGACCACACCAGCGGCCACACAGCCAGCTTCCCGAGTTCGGCCCATGGCCCAGCCTGGGAGAAAGTCAGGCTCAGAGCAGATTTGCTCTGGCGCAGAGGAGTGTGCACAGGTAGGGGGCGGAGTCCTTACTGCTGGCTGGGACACAGTGAGACCTAGGAAGAAAAGAAAGATTTCAGGCTTGGGCTCCTGCTCCTTTAGTGCCTTTTGCACATAGGCAGACTGAAACACCAACTGACAAATGTACAAAGGTGTGGAAATAACGGCAGAACTTCAGAGCTTAGTACCTACATCACGAATTCCTTTCCTCCATCGGGAAGTTAATTTTGGATATTTCCCCCACATCCAGATTCTCCAACTTTACGTTTCACCACCCCATCCCAAAACGTTAAATGTAACCTATCCGATCAGTTCTGTACCACCCCTGCCCTTGCAGATGTCCTGGTGGTAGTGGCACCCTCACATACACCTGCAGAGGTCTAGGCAGTTTCTTCTCTTTCTTCAGTCCCGAAAACCTGTAGACAAGCAGGTGGGGAGGAAGGTGCTGAGTGCTTAGGAAACAGATGACCCTCACTCAGAACGGGACACCTGTCCTTCTTTTGAATCCCTAGCCCTTGTCCTTCCTTGCTCAATATTTCCTGTCTTCCCTTACCCTCCTCTCCTCACAGAGCTGAAACTTTGAAATTTATTATCCTCCCTCCTCTCTCTCCTTCAAAAATCCTCTTCTCCAACCCTCCACCCTACCCCCCACTCCAGTCACTTCCTCTGAATGTGACGCCACACTCCATTCCCAGTAACAAAATGGATCCTAATGCAACAAAAGTGTCTAGAAGTCAAACAGGCGTGAAATATATTCAGGTCTCCAACTCTACCTTTGCCCCGCCACCCCCACCATCTCAAAGGTATGAAGACAACCCCCCTCCTTGCATTATACCAACTTCCACTGCTCAAGAGCAATTCCCTTCCTTCTGTGCCTCGATTTACGGTTTCCACCAAACTTAAGTACTGACAAATTATGGGACTGGGTGCTTGGTGAACAGTCCAACATCATGGGTACCATACTGCAAGCAATAATTTGGGGTAATGTCCTCCCCACCCTCACCCCAGGAAACTCTTGACACCCACTCCCTCCCAGTCATGTCCTTCTCGCCCAGGAGGACAGAGCACTTTCTTTTGCAAGCTTTGAAATAGTGTAGAGAGGAAGGAGGGAAGGGAATGCCCACTGGAGTTTGCAGTCATCACCATTCGTCACCCAGGGGTCCCCAAACAATGCCACCACCCTCGCTCTGACCTACTGGGTTCTAGACAATTTGTCTGTTCTTACTGATCTTAGAGTTAGATTGGCCTTCTGACCCCCAGATCCACAGACACAGGCGACGCGGCGGAGACGGATGGCTCAGGGAAAAGAACAGTACTTCGGAAGGTCCATTACCAGCTTTTCCTAATTCAGGGTGCAGATTGCCAAGCAGATTTCACCTTTTTGCCTCTCGCCCTACCCCCACTTCTCTGGACTCCGCTGTCG